TAATTTTCTAGTGGCCTCCATTGTGTCTTTAATTTTCACCTATTTCTATATTTGCATTCACCTATCTGGAGGATAGTTTGGAGAAAGATTTGATTTAGAGAAAAGATACGTTTTGAACCAAGTATCAATGAAATGTATATGAAAAAATATTTTTGTTTTCCAGAAAAATAAAGGTTTTAGGTTTGAATGCAAAGGTTTGTTGTTGCTTTTGTTTTTTATTAACTAAAGTGAACAGTTACTATTTCAGATTATCGTTTATCCTGAATTACACTTTTGATGTATTTTTTAAAAAATTAATCTTTTAAATGTAAGTAGTATGAGAGAAAAGTCACTAATCCCATGGTATTATGTCCATATCTTCTCCTCCCTTCTACTAAATTATTTAACCTACATTATAACTTGAAAATGTGTTTTTGAACTTTAAAGTTGTAGAAATGTAACTGCTGTTGAGTTTGCAGATCGCCAAACCAAAAGGTCTAGTTTAGAGAAAACACACACACAGTGCGGCAAAGATCCAAGCTCTGTGTGGTTTAATTCCCTTTTCCCCGTTGGTCTAAAAACAGAAAACACAGATGTCTCGCTATGATACTAGCAACTTGAACGAGGAAGGGATATTTGGTTATAATTAGGATGAGCTAATTTGCTGAGGATTTGCTGGAGCGCCTGCCCACCCCACCGGCTTGGCTCAGCTCTTTCTCCTGTGAGACTCACTGGCAGGGCCTGTGATGCTGAGAGCGAAGCTTCAGGCCTCAGCCCTGCCTTCGGGGAGATGGGGAAGGACTCGCTGCTGTGCTGAACAAGGGTGAAAATCCAGGGCTCACGCTTGACGGCAGTTTGCAGATTTTGGAAGATTCCCCGTGGTGAGCCGAGAGGAAGTCTGCTCTGCGGTGATGTCATAGCATCAGGGCGATGGGTCTCCGTGACGTGCAATTCTGTGCTGTCCCATCACAGCCTAGATTGAAGAATTTGGAGAAGGAAGTGCTTCCGAGTCGCTGAGGAAGGAATTGAGCTTTTTGGCAAGAATTACTAGGGCTCCATCAGGGAGTCAGGTCTCTTGAAACTGTCTACTTGAGGTTGGGGGCTGAGGGAGACCCGCCTGCACCATCAGGCTCATTGGACTCATTCAGGGGTGTTTCTGCCGCACAGTCTATTGCAGATCTCTTCGGCCTTCCCTTGGCTAATTACATTTTCAGACCTAAGCTGAAGATTTGCAGATTTTTCTCCTCAGTAGAGAGGCCACTGTCTTAGCCATTAGTAAAATAATTGTTATTGGAGAAAGATACGTATCTGTTTCTGGTATCACCAGTCACCTGTGACCTCCTAGGAATGTTGACTTGAGTTTTACCTTGTGAGGCTAAGGTCATGGGCAGGATTGTTACGTAGACCTCTACATGGATGTAGGTTTCGTATTAGATACCAATGTAATCAATAGCTGACAGTGCCCCTGGAAAAACAAAGTCTGTACTCTTGAGACCAATAGAGTCATCTTCAAACTCCCTGCGTCTCTCCCTACATAGCGATTTGTTGGTGAGACACAGCACCAGAGCCCAGGCAAGGACGGGATGCAGGCCTGAGCCAAACGCTCGGTATGAGTGGAATCTGCTTCAGCAGTGAAAGAGCCTTGTAGAAATGAGAATAAATGTCGTCATAACCATTTTGCATTAGGAGCATATCTTTTAAAAATGCTTTAAAGACATAGTTTCACAACTTTTAAAATATTAAGTGTCAAATTATATCACTCACATTGGACCCAAATATCCTATTTTTTTTTTCATTCTCCTGTTGCCCCTGTAATTTCATGTGAACAGTCTGTCTCCACAAAAAAACGTATTTTACAAGAGCACAGGATCCTTTTTTCTGTATTGACTCAACCGTATGATACATCTGCTAGGACTTAGTAAGTGTTTGGTAAACAATGATGCACCAAATTGACCCAGGATGATTTACGTTGCTTTTCTCCCTCCCGTCCCATTATATTTCTACAAAATTGATATTGTGTCAGAGCTTTTGCAATCAGTATTTTATCGGTGGTGCATAACTGAGAGTGTTTGCAGAGAGCACTGTGTAAGCTGTCAGTTCTAAGAGACTCTTCTGTTACTCAAGAGCCAATGGAAACTTGACAAATGGCAGCTTTATCTTATTTTCTGAGGGCAACGTGGAAAACTGAGCCTAGAATACTCTCCAGCAATCAGATTCTATCTGATTAAAGCTTTACATTTCTGTAAAGAACAGTTCTGCTTCCCTCTGTAATGTAGAGTGAATTAAGTTCACTTTTATATTGATGAGATGATGCCACTTATTCATTTGGGTAACTGTTAACAATACAAGTTTTCACTATTTTTAACATTTTCAAAGGTCTGTTTGTTGGTTGGCTTACTTATTCCCTTTCCTTTTTATGCTGGTTTTTTGTGTGTGAGTTTATTTTAAAACAAAATTTCACAAAGAACATCATGACCGTAGTACCAGAAAAGGGACTTTAAAAAAAGAAAACTTACCCATAATTCTATCATAATCCAAAATTTCTTCTCAGTTTTCCTCACTTTGCTCCAGATCCTTTCTCATAAATATGCACTCGTTACAGAATTTGTGGTTTTCGTAAAAATTGAGGTTAAGTGCTTTATCAACAGTGTCTAGTTAAATGACAAACCTGTATGGCTCCTTTTGTATATCAGTTGTTTCCTGAAGTTGTCTGTGACATGTCCCACTTTCACATGATCTTCAGTCATCATGGAATTCAATGAGTCTTCATCTCTGGGCATATTTTGGTTGGCAGTGGTCCCTAAATCTTGATTTGCATTTCTCTGTTTGTATAAAAACATTTCAATGTTAGGGAAGGTCAGCATTTGGTAAATACCCTCAAATCCCCCTTGTCCACTCCATCCCCCGCCCCCCCAAACCTCAGTTGACCTCTACATAACTTCAGCTTTTCACTTCTGGATTCTTTTTTAAACAGAACAGTTTCCTTCCTTATCTTCTGTAGGTATTATATGAGAGGGGTAGAAATTAATACACTAATTTATAGAAGTATGGATGCATTTTTACTTTGGAAGCCAGAATATTGGCAAAATTGGAGATGTCGTTCACCTGTCTTTCCAGACTTTTCAACTATTGGTGAAAGGCCACGCTTGGCACTCTGTCAGGTGTGTGGAAGATGCTGGTGTGCAAAACTTTATTGTTACTGTAGGAACCTGTCACTCCTGTAGTTTCCATTTGGGACTTTCCCCTGTATTCTACGAGCTGCCTGTTGAGGACTTGCACCTGTATCGATGTGTGAATAATGCTCAGTGAGTTAGCTTCATTTCCTAGGTTTATTGTGAAACTGGACTATTCATATCCCAGACATACATCTCTTATGAGCAACAAGTGCTTTAGATTTAGTATAGAAAATTCATCTTATTTTATTTTTTTTAAATAAAATAATGTTTAATAATAGAGTTTTTTTAAAACAGAGATTAAGGTTGAGAAATGCTTAAAGGTTTATTTTACAGGATAAGAAACCTCTAAGTGCTTTGGAGAAGATTCCACATTGTGATCTCACAAATTAAGGTTATTGATAATTAATGTAATGAGATGAAGGGGATGGTAGATCATAATTCAGTACAAGTGGAAAACTTGAATTTGAACTTCTAGAAGTCAAATGCATTTGGTTTTATGCACTGACAAGCTGCATATACTATTATAGTCCCTGTTCCTCAGTTGTTTCCTAGTCTGCTGAGCTATATGTCTATTGAGAAGGCCATGTAGGGCTTTTCAATTTTTATACTTCTTTTGCACATAACTTGTACATATTCATTAGAGACAAATTAGAAGTATGTATTAGGAATATATTATTATATTATATTATATTATATTATATTATATTATGTATTGTATTATATTATATTATATTATATTATATTATATTATATTATATTTATTATATTATATTATATTATATATGATATGAAATACATAGAAGTAAGAATTAGCCCACCACCCAAAGATCACTAATGTTAATATTTGGTATCTTTTGATTCAGCCTTTTTGCTGTAATAGGTGTGTATATATATATATTTTTTCTTACCCCAAACCATACCTTATTTTATAACCTGATAATGTTTTTCCAGTGTTAGATTGTTTGTATGGGCCTGTTGCGGGGGTGGCGAGACTTGCTGTCTACTTTATTCATTCCATTGAAAAAGAACACATAATACTTGTCATGGACTTTGGGTTTATTTATTTAGAAATTTCAAGCAACTATAAAAAAACGTGTATTTCACTACAAATTCACACTTAAAGCATAGTAGAATAGCAGTTTTAGTTAGAAAAATCCAAGCATGTTTTGGGAGGAATTGTTTTCTTCTAAAAGGTTCAGATGGCTCCACATAAAAAAATGAAATAGAATAAAATGAAAACAGAGAAGCTTACACAAATCTGCTAAAGCTGTAGAATACATAGCAATGGCATATGAACCTGCCTTTACAATAGCCAGACTGCAAGTCCCCTCAACCTGGACACTATCTCTATGTACCACCCATTCTAGACTTACTCTTAGCACAATTCCTGGGACGTAGTGACACCTAACAAACACCAGTTGAATGACTGATTGAAGGGGGGAAAAGAGCAAGAAAGGACAGAAAAGATGAGGTCATTCACCCCTTTGCTTATAGTAAAGACAAATTAGCCATCTTTTGGAATATAGTTTTATCAGCATATCTTTAAAAAGTATAGCAACAAAAATGGCAAATCTTTTTTAATCACTCAGGGCTCCTGTTCCTTTGTGCCCCAAATAAGCCATTGTCTGAGTTCCCTATAAGAAGGCGTGGATGAGTGAACTCTAAGAAATCCACAGCTTTGGCTAATGAAGCCCTCCTGATTGCTCTAGCAACAAGTGAAAAATAATTTAAAAATCCAGGTGCCGTAACTGCTGAGAAGTGGGGCCTCCGATTGGAGGGGTGATGGTTCCAGATCAGCTTCTAACATCCCCCCGCCTTTGTGTCCCTCAGGTTCACCTTCTCGCCATGATTCCCTGCAGAGCAGCCCTGTCCTTCGCCCGGTGTCTGATCCGGAGGAAAATGGTCGTTCTGGATGGCCTAGAAGATTCCAAATTAAGCCGCTGCTTATCCACTGTGGACCTCATTGCCCTGGGCGTTGGCAGCACCCTCGGCGCGGGGGTTTACGTCCTCGCTGGGGAGGTGGCCAAGTCGGACTCGGGCCCCAGCATCGTCCTGTCCTTCCTCATCGCCGCCCTGGCTTCGGTGATGGCAGGCCTGTGCTATGCCGAGTTTGGGGCGCGAGTGCCCAAGACGGGCTCCGCGTACCTGTACACTTACGTCACTGTCGGAGAGCTGTGGGCCTTCATCACTGGCTGGAATCTCATTTTATCCTATGTGATAGGTAGGTTTCCAAACAGCAGTCTGATTGTAGCGCTCCTGAGCCCGAGGCCTTCGGGCTCCCGCGTGTTAGTTAATGACTGTGATCGCGAGCAAATTGCAAGATCCCGGTGTGCCTCCTTTCTCTCATCTCTAAAACGTCTCTCCTCCTCACTGCAAAATTGGGCGATTCTGCTTCATCTCTGAATATGCCTTTGTGCAGATTTAAAAACCTCCTTCTTAAATAATCATAGTTCTTTCATGCAGATAAAGTCACCTGATTCCGCAGGTGATTGACTTGAGCATGTGATTACTGTTGTATAATTACAAAGTTATGAAGATAATTTTATGTGGGATTAAACTTTTCAATTCTGTCTGAACTAACCCATGTTTATCCTAGAACAGAGTAGCAATGAATGTTATGTTCATTTTCTCCCGGTGACCTTGTGTTCTCTGAATGTTCTGTGTTTTGGAAAGGTACATCGAGTGTCGCAAGAGCATGGAGCGGCACCTTTGATGAACTTCTGAACAAACAGATTGGGCAGTTTTTTAGGACACACTTGAATATAAATTATGCCGGCCTTGCAGAGTATCCTGACTTTTTTGCTGTGTGCCTCATACTACTTCTATCAGGTGAGAAAATCAGTTATGCTTCTCCCTACGTTAAGCCAGACTAATTGTCCCAGTAAAATAGGTTGCCACTAAAATAGGGGCCCGAGTTTCCAAGACTACGCAGCATATTTGTACACTTAGATTATTACTGGAGATCTGTGGACCTGGCTAGAATCACATTTTATCTTACGTGATAGGTATGCTTCAAAAATTAATCTAAATTGTGTGGAGTGGTAAGAAATACCACTTTTGGGTTAATGGCACCTGGAATGCAGTAAATAATAGGATGAGGCACATCAATTTTATAACACTCATTGGAGATTTACAGAAATGGCAGTGAAGTTTTAGTAAGGAGGAATGTATAATTTTTGACATTATTTCATCTTGTTAGATATAAATGAGGGTATTTGCAAGTGTACTATTCCTAAAAGAAGTTCTGTCTTTCCAGTCATGCGTTTATCCATATAATGTAGCCATCTGGTTAAAAAGGAAGCATATTCTAACCACCTGTTATTTTTTGATGTAGACAAACATTGTATAAACAAACATACTTGGTACTGGAATTTTTTTGTTTTCATCAGTACTGCAGCATAGTGGTTTAGAAAGGTAAAGGAATCAGAGTCAGAGAAACCAGGTTTTTCATCCTACTCTGCCACTTACTGTCTTTGGAACATGGAGTGACTTAGTTTTTTCCTGATTCAGTGTGCCCATCCATAGTTATCAGTGTCTGTCTTGTACAGGCTTCCTGCTTGGCACCTAGTGAGCACTTAGGTAGAAGGCGTTTTTATTTTGTAGGCATAGTTAATCCCTGCTGTCCCCTGATATTTATTCATTTTTAACTATTTGAACATTTTCTGTTTTGATTGTGTTCCCCACCTGCACTCCTGCTAGAACCCGTCGAGGATTGCACTAAGGATAAAATTCACATTTGCTTTCACTTCCTACGTGATACACCCTGGGTAATCTGCCTCTTGCTTTCCTGGCCAGTCTTGTCTCTAGCTACGTTCTCCCTTGGTTACAAAGATGTGATCGAAACGTCTTTCTATAATGAATGTTTACTTGTAAAATTAAATAGCCTTTAAAATAGCTCTACCCTTTAAAAAGTTGATTGTTAATTAAATGTTTTGGAAAGGTTAAGATTAGGGACACTGAACAAAATTTATATATCTAAAACATTTGGCATTTTGCTCTAATATCAAGAAAAATCACATTAATTGTTTTTCCACAGGTGCTAGATGTTGTTTGTTTTGGTTTCTAAACAACCTAGCTAACATTAAATTAGGTCATGTTTTATTTAGGGGTGGTTTCGATGAACTTAAAATATTCAGCTATAATCTCTAAACAATGAGAAGGATGTAGCTGTGACACAGAATCGCTGAATTCCATGGCAAGGCTCGGGCCTTGGCTAGCATCCTTCGTCTTGCATTCTTTTTTTTCTTTTTTCTTTTTTTAATGTATCTTTATTTATTTCAGAGAGAAGAAGGGAGAGGGAGAGAGAGAGAAACATCAGTGATGAGAGAGTCATTGATCAGCTGCCTCCTGCACTCCCCTAACTGGGGATCGAGCCCGCAACCCGGGCATGGGCCCTGACCAGGAATCGAACCCCAATCGCCTGGATCCTAGGCCGATGCTCAGCCGCTGAGCCACGCCCGGCCGGACCATCTTGCATTCTTGAGCATCATGTCTCTAAACATACGCTGAGCTTATATGCTAAGGTTGTTCTTAGAATCTTTGAAGATCAAAACCTATTATAAACCTTTATTCATAGTGTAGTACCAAATACCTTGGCAGCTGAAGCTGTTGTTTCTTAAGGGCCCAAGGGAAGCGTGTGCAATATTTGGGTGAGATATGGTCTGGGTGGAAATGGGGATCTCAGAGAGTGCACGTGGGATATTGGGAAACTTTTCTGAACGTGACATTGGCTTTGTTACTTTCCAATGTGTACTGTGGTATAGAGCATAGTGTGTATTTCCTAGGTGTACAGTGGTTCCTAATCAGACAGATAGTTACAGAGTCATGGTTGTACTGAGTATACAATTTTCCTTTATATTGTTAATATAGTTATATTATTGTAAATTCTGGGAATTATAAAGGTAGAAGAATGAAATCTGGCTTCTCTCATCTCTACTTGTAGAGTTGTGCTTATTTGATCATGGGTGTGCAGATGAGAAAGGAGCAAGTAAATATATAGCATAATCCTTTCATCACAATGATTTTCCCAAATGTAAAAAGTAAACTTAATTTGATCCATAACTCATATCTTATACAAGATAGATTAAAGATATAAATATGATCAGTATAATCATAAAAGCACTAGAAGAACACAAAGGTGAACATTTTGGGGGTTAATACTTGAGAAAATCTTTCTAAAGGTAGAAACTAAAAAGGAAAAATTTATATTCTAAAACAATCTTATATATAATCAACACTAACATTAAAAGCAAATGATAGACTGGGAAAAACACAGGTAAGACATTATAGCACATTATAAAGCTTACAGTATTATTATTACATAAATACAGATTATAAGTCAATAGGAACAAGAATAGCCTAACAGAAAAAAATGGACAATTTAAAGTGGGCCAAACATTATGAAGAATATTTTGATAATCTGAACCAAAAGCCTTGCATAAAAGTACATAGCCTTGATACAGTGTTAACTTTTAGGAAATTACTGTAGAGAAATAATTAGAAAGTGTAAAAAGGTATTTATAAAAAGCTGATTATGTCAGTACCGTTTATAGTTTAGGAAACTAAAGTGACCTGGTTGTCTCTAAAGAAGAGATTCAAGTGCGGTATCTCCATATAGCAGGAGAGCACGTGGCTGTTAAAAATGTATTTGTTGACATGGCAGAGTGTGTGTGTGTGTGCGTGTGTGTGTGTGTACATGCACATGAGCAAAATTGTGCACAGATTACACTTGATTTTATTCNGTGGCTGTTAAAAATGTATTTGTTGACATGGCAGAGTGTGTGTGTGTGTGTGTGTACATGCACATGCACAAAATTGTGCACAGATTACACTTGATTTTATTCCCTTTATATGTTTTCTGTATCTTCGAATTACTTGAATAGGAAATTGATTACTTGTACAATCAGAACACAAAATAAAACTACTAAAATGAGAGTGGGTTTAACTAAATATCTTCTTGGCATGACAGTGGAAGAGTTATTTTGTGTATGTGTGTAGTAAATATGAAGCAGGCATATGCTTGAGCTTTTACCTTCAAAATTTTGTAGCCATTCACCTTGAAATGGCTTTAGAACAGCATTTCGTTAAGATTTCATTACTTTACCTCCACCTACCCATTGGTAAGAGTAGCCAAGGTCACTAGATTTGTCTGTTTCTTGGCTGGTGTGGTGTCTCCTGGCTGTGAGCACCGTCTGCCTTCTGAAATCAGGTTGGTTGTGTTCAGAAGACGTCGTTTCTCCATCAGGCAAGTGAGTAAGAATCTCAAAAGAAAGGGGTCAGTGCAACTTAAATATGTGAATGCTGGTGAAACGGCATCCAAAGCCTGTAAAACTGCCTCAGAACGCCATTGCCTTTCCTAAAGCTTAGGTCAGACTTCAAAGTCCCTTTCTCTCCCCACAGGTCTTTTATCTTTCGGGGTGAAAGAGTCTGCTTGGGTGAACAAAGTCTTCACGGCCGTTAACATCCTGGTCCTGCTGTTTGTTATGGTTGCTGGGTTTGTGAAAGGAAATGTGGCAAACTGGAAGATCAGTGAAGACTTTCTCAAAAATATATCAGCAACTGCCAGGTGAAATATTTGGGGGTTCCCCCCCTCTTATTCTGTTTGTTTTGTTCGTTTGGTTGTTTAATTTGCTCACTTGTGTCTTACGTTACCTCTTCCTCTAGAACAATAGTTCTCAAACTTTTTGCTCCTGAGACCTTTCTGAGCGTCTGTTCTGTTCCAAGACTTCTTCCCGGGCCCCCCCAGACATGAGGGCGTAGGTGTGCTCACCGCTGGGCAACTGTGGGAGCCCCGCAGCTGCTGGCTCTCAGCCTCAAGCTCTGCTCCAGGTTTTGGGGAAGAAAAGGGGAGAATGCTTTTTTTCTCCCAAAGGTTTGCCACCTCTACCTAACTGAGTATTTTTGGGTTGGGCATCCTTTAGTTCCTCCTTGGGGACCACCGTTTGGTTTCATCACATTTCTTCAGCCATGTAGTAATTTTCAGGCCTGGGTTTTGGAGAATGTTATTATTTCCATATGCAGACTTCTCCTTATATTTCACTTTAAACTGGATAGTCTCAAAAATTAAATTAATAATAATATACCTAAGGTTTCATCCTAAGATTTATTTAATCACAAGACTGGTATGTGCATAAAGAATGATATTACAAAAACATCGATTATATGGAGTGAGGTATATCTGCATGGTTTTCTTTACATAAATTGTTCATAGTCATTCTGAGGAGGCAAAAAATTAGTATCTTCTGGTTTTTTAGAGTTTTTAACATGTAAAATATTCAACTTTAGTATTATTCATCAAACCGATAGTTTTGTTTCACCTTCTCGAATGTCTTCTTAGTAAATTTTTCAGTGTGCAATGTGCCCAGCTGTCCACAAGAGGAAGTTCCCTGTCTTTATTTCACATCATAGTCCCCAGATGGAGCCCCTGCTCTCAAAATCCTGCTGGCTGTGAGCTCCAGCCAGGGTGGGCCTGGGCCTCCGGCTCCTGCTGTCAGCCTCCGAGATCAGTGTCGGTAACCCCGAGAGGGTGCCATTGTTGGGGATACCCCTGCATTCTTGGACAGAGTCAGGGTCGGGGTTTACTGAGGCCTGACGGGCACAGCAGCCTCCCGAGCGTGCAGCTTCCGGAGCAGTTCTCTATGAAAATGACTTTCCTGCATCTGTTCCCTTCCTTAGAGATCCGCCTTCTGAAAACGGAACGAGTATCTACGGGGCCGGTGGCTTCATGCCCTACGGCATTGCGGGGACGTTGGCGGGGGCCGCCACGTGCTTTTATGCCTTTGTGGGATTTGACTGCATTGCAACGACTGGTAAGAGCGGAGTCCTGGCTCCAGGTAGCAGGGAAAGGTGGTGTTTGTACCACATGGTACCCGTGGGTGGCAGCCGAGGGGCAAGGAAAGAGAATGGGATATAGACCCAGTTCCAGACCCAGTTGTGACACCGGCTGTATGTGATAAAAAGAAACGAAATGAAACTCTCTGGGCCTTGGTTTCCATGTTGGTAAAATTGGGAGAGTGTTACCTACCCCTCAGGTGTTATGGTTACATAAGATGTATGTACATATGAAAAATACTTTATAAGCTGTCCAGTACTTTATAAATATTAGTCATAGTTACTATCTTCAACCTTCTGTCTGGACATCCTATCACCAAATGATGATCATGCTCTTAAATGATCTCATCTTTATTAGGATGATATATTGTGGTCTTCTCTTTATTTTATGCAAGGAGGTAATCGTGCAAGAAAAACTCTCTAAGTGTCTACTCTGGGTTCATATTTTTTGCATGGCCTTAAAACTGATCATGTTTTGGATGCTTCAAATGCCAAATCTTATTAAAAGGACCCAATGCGTACTATTTTCTATTGAAACTAGAGTTTCATATAAACAGATGGGTCGGGTAGAAGTTTATCTGAAGCCTTCATGTCGAAGGGCCCACAGAATGCCCTGGCAGGCGTTTGATCTCCGTGGGTGAGTCGTTTCCAAAATGGCTTAAGGCTGCCTTTCTACTGCTGGACATTTAATAGCTCCGCTGTCCCATGTCTTTTGTCCCTGGAATTGGATTCTCGTGTACCAGCAAAGTGCGCTTGGGAAGAGAGAGGGTTGCATGTAGGAGAGGTGGCTCGAGCTAAGGACGCAGAAGGGGACAAGGCCGAGCAGAGTCCGGGGAGGGGAGCGAGGTCTGCCCGTGGCTCGCCTTCTGTGGCATCACCGCGCCCGCCTCGTGTTTCCGCAGGGGAGGAGGTCCGCAACCCGCAGAAGGCCATTCCGATCGGAATCGTCACCTCTTTGCTCGTGTGCTTCATGGCGTACTTCGGGGTCTCCGCCGCCCTCACGCTGATGATGCCCTACTACCTCCTGGACGAAAAGAGCCCCCTCCCTGTCGCCTTCGAGTACGTCGGATGGGGTCCCGCCAAATACGTCGTTGCTGCCGGCTCGCTCTGTGCTCTGTCAGCAAGGTACATCGCGTCGCCTTGAGGGCAGGGACACAGCGCGGCCCCATCTGGAGAATTCATTTTAAAAATGATCCTGATCTCAGGGGCATACTGTGCAGCCGTGGATCCTCCAAGTAGTTTGCCCAGAATTGCTGTCTTAATCTTAAGTGATAAAGCCTTTCCCCCCATCAGGCAAGGGTCAGGTTGTGAAGATAGTGACAGGCCAGGCTTCGGCAGAAATACAGTATGGTGCTGAGACGGGCATCCCCATGCACACGTCTGTGTCACCTGTATTCACATGTGCACACACTGTCAAACTTTAGGATGCTCACACCAGTATGTTTCCCCGCTGGCTCTGGTGTCACTGTGGTGCTTCCGACGATCGCGACCCTAGGTGCAGACCTGGCATCTTCCTTTGCCTTTTAAAGTGCCATCATTCCGGGGCATGGAAGCGGTGTGCTGTGGCATCGTTAAACGTACGTGCCTGTTACTGTGAGGCACTGAGGCTTCTCCCCTTAGCGCGACCAGAGTGACCTTGGTCTAGAAATAGAGCTTACCATTCTCAGATTAACGGTGGGCATTTGTATAACACCCATGGGGAAAGGAAAGGGCGGTTGAACCTCGAGGGTTTGGATTTTCAGTAGCTGCTTGTTTTAACACTTCAGAATTCGTCTCCCAGGTTTCCTGAGCTGCTCATATTTTAAATTAACATGTGATCATAAGATACTTCATTCTCGTTTTATACTGTGCTATACAGTAGAGCATTCTTACAAAGAGAAAATTAATCTCTTTGCCTGATTACTAATTTTTTAAAGTGAAAATAATTTTCTGTAAGTCTAGTGTTGGAAAAAGAAATCTTTTTATATATAATTTATCAGCCTAGCTTCCCCCCCCAAAATTTATTTTATTTTGTATTTAAGATAATATGAAGTTGCAACTAGAAAGTACTCCCTTTGGTTTCTCAGCCATCTGCTAATGATAAGGTTTATTCTGAATAGTTTCAAATAGTTTCAAAAATATGAACTGTGACAATACGTTGCCAACACAGTCTTAGAAGAGACGGACACAGATTCATCCGTGGCCAACCTCAGCCCAGCTTTATTAAAAGATAAAGAAGATGGATTTTTAAAAATAAAATACTTTACTTATTTTCTCTTAAATGGTTATTTATCACAACTGAGTCATGTATGGAATGGTGGCAACCAGGAAGCATACAGGTTTTTCAAAATATCTGAAGTTTTCTTAAACTTTTAATCATGGCTATATCTATATACTAATTTTACAGAGTTGATTTTTTAAAATCTTTTTATATCTTGATTATCTTGTGATGCTGGGAATTATTACTAATTACAAAGATCAGGTTATATGAGGAAAAATAATGGTAAAATATTAAAAATGCATAATTATTAAATAAATGAAGGGACTATTCTATGAAATCAAATTACTTAATCTCTTTTTAAATTACATATCAATTTAGGAATTTTATTTTCTGAGTTATTGCCACTACAGATGTCTTAATGATATTATGATTGCTTTGTTTTTTTGTTAAGTCTTAATTACTTAGTTTTAATTCAGTAATAATCATGGGCATGCCTAATAAATTACTTGCATTGTTGTTTTTAGTCTGATAATTGTGCTGGGCAGATATCTGCAACAGAGTAATAAGCAGCACAGTGGTAAACACTGACATATAGTTTTAAATGCCCAGTCATAATTTTAAGAATAATGAGTTCTCGTAATCGTAGCTGTGATGCCGGGCTCTGTACAGTTGCTTAATTTGAGGTGTGGGATGTGATCGTGCATGACTGTGTTGCCATACTGCATGTGTTTGCTCTCTACTCAGTCTTCTTGGATGCATTTTCCCAATGCCTCGTGTAATCTATGCTATGGCGGAGGATGGGTTGCTTTTCAAATGTCTAGCTCAAATCAATTCCAAAACGAAGACACCAATAATTGCTACTTTATCGTCCGGTGCGGTGGCAGGTGAGACAGTTAACTTTTATTTAAGAAAAGGGGGATCTTTTGTCATTAAGGATTCTGAGAAAATATGCAAACTTAGGTGGTTTTCTGTTTTGATTCACATGAAGATCAATAACTTTTTTTGGTAAATGTTTTCCGTTTTGAATTTTTTTGGCATAGGTCGGTTCTGCACGTTAGTGTGTCCAGTCTGTACTTGTATCTACGTGTCTAGAATAATGCTTGTAATAACTCACATGGATTATGAATTTTTCTGTTCTAGTCTTCTGGGCTCTATGTTTCCTTTACCCCGAATTCTGTTTGCCATGGCCCGGGATGGTTTACTGTTTAGATTTCTTGCCAAAGTGAGTAAGAGGCAGTCACCAGTTGCTGCCACACTGACTGCAGGGGTCATTTCTGGTAAGCTTTACAAACTTAGGCTTCTTCAATACTGGACTTGAACATTTTGTGCGCATGCGTGGACTTACAAGGAGGGTCTGCTTGCTGTGCATGTAAGTTAAGAACAAAATCACAGATAAATGATGGTCTGAGCATTGGGATGACATCTGGAAATCGTGGTGGCAGTGGTTTATTGTAATTCATTCGTAACCAACCATTTGGGATTTTTTTTGTGCCATTTTTTAACTTTAAACTTTTGGGCTTCTAATAAACATGCAAAGGGTTATCATGGTTGCTCACTATATGTCAGATATTAAATGCTTTTCAGATTGATTAACTAGCACATAAAATTGTATTGTTGACATATAACATTTTTTTTCAAGAATAATTACTTGATTTTGGACATATTAATTTAAAATGATTCAGAATTTTCTTTTCTGTTTGGGATTTAAGCTGGATATTGCTGAAGAGCCATAAGATTTGGGAAAAGCTAAAGCCTACCCACTCTTTTATATATATATATATATATGTATATCTTTATTGATTTCAAAGAGAGGAAAGGAGAGGGAGAGAGAGAGATAGAAACATCCATGATGAGAGAGTCATTGATCGGCTGCCTCGTGCACACCCCCGACTGGGGATCGAGCCCTCAACCCGGGCATGTGCCCTGACCAGGAGTTGAACCCCGATTGCCTGGATCCTAGGTCAATGCTCAACTGCTGAGCCACGCCCGGCCGGGCAAGCCTACCCATTCTTAATTAAGTGTAAGAAATGTCTAAGATAATTTGTGCTTGGCTGTTGTAGTCACTGCTGTTTGTACAGCAGAGAGCCCCACTTCCTGGGCCATCCAGTTCTCTCCATTGCTAAACCCCATTAGAAATCTGTTTCTCCTTTCAACAGTTTTGGTACTTAAATCGTGTTCAAAACTCCAGAAGCTACCTTCTGGCCTGTCATAATATCCATGTCAAATGCCTTTGGCCAGATTGTTTTGCATAAATTTTCAGATATTCCACAGATCAAGAGAATGGCCTTAAAGGTCCTATTACAAGAAGCAAGAGAGAGACTCTAGCCAGCTTTATACATAAAATGATAAACTAGCTTGGTGAGGTAGAAATCCAAATGAAAAATGATACTCTTTTTGAGACTCTAAATTGTTGGGAAATTAGGTTAGGGAATGCTGATGTTTAATTATGCGTGAAATGGGATATTTTTCAGAGGCAGAAAGTATTTGTCTAAACAGCTTCACTTTGTGAATATTTTCTAATAAGTCTGGCACTTCATTAGACTTACACTGGAAGGTCAGGCCACTTATTTCCTCAGTGCTTAGATATCTGCACCCACAAATGAAGGTGGTAGTAGATAATCTAAGTCCATTTATTATTAAACAGTGCCTCATGATGTTACAGTTTAAAATCATGACAAAGGATCACACATGTTATTAACTCCATAAAAACTTTTATTTTTTCCAGCAAAACTTTGCCCAGTAATATTCAGAATTTTATGTATTATTGATCAACTATATATTCAGAATTTTAAAAAATTTATACTTCTTCCTTCAGGAAGAATTTAATTTGGTAGTAATTTAATAATAAGATATTAAAATTAATAATTAAAAGAAGATAATGGTAACAAAAGGCTTTTTTTAATGCTTTAAAAAATATATTTGTTTTTTTGTACTCCCATTTTACTTTTCTTGTTTTTAATTAGATCAGATTGCTTGTATGTGTAATTAATCATGTCCTTCTGTTTTAGCTGCCTTATTTTGGCTAGCTGTGATTCTCACAAAGCATATTGAATTTAATGATCTAATGTGAAAGTGTTCTAGCAATAAAGAGTCTTCAGAATAAGGCATGAGGTGCATTTAAAGAAAGAGTGTGGTGTTGTAGGAGGTGCATGGGTGCATTTAGATGGAATTCTGCTTCTACCTGGTAGTTTTAACCTTGATAAGTTAACCAGTCTATAAAGTAGGTATAGTATTATAAGGATTATAACTCAGCAAAGCATGTAAAATTGTTGGGGTGGTTTTTCTTTGTCCAAAATGGTCAAATACTGGCCATTTTATATGGCTCAGTCTAATTTTTCCTGTCTCACAGGATTATTGAATTGAGCATAAAAGGAGATCATAGAGATAGAAAGCTTGCAGAGAGGTCTAGAACACCGTATAAATGGATGTAGTCTCTACTTACTAAGTTAGGGACGGCTATGTGGTAAATTCAAGTTAATATTGTCACTATTTTGATGTTTCAATGGAGGAAAAAACTGCTAAGTGCAAATTATTCTGCTATGTAAAGTGTATTTTGCCTCTTAGCATATTGGGACTTGTGTGCAGGGCCATAGAGTGAGCTCTCCAATCTGGTCAGTCTTCTTAGAGTGTGTGGTTTTTAATCAGAGTAAAATTTAGCCTATGTAAGAAACATAATTTTCTTTGAAATTACTTCACTTTGTGTATGATATAACTCAAAATGCAAGTGGAAATCAATATGATTAAATATCTTCTATAATGAAAGCTCTTTTGTTTGAATATTTTATGGTTTTAAAAAAGGACCTAGCCAGTATTTCTTAGCAGTGTTTTTCTTCTGAAACATCAAAAGAGAGTAGTAATATTTTCACTCTTTGTCAGGCCACTATTTTTTAAGTAATCAAAGTAGATGGTCTTTAATAATCAAAGTAGTAGTTACCAGTCTGATAACTGAGGGGTTTGGAAGTTTTTTAGCAGTTTATATGATCTAAAAAGCATCTCATAATTGTGAGAAATATAATCTCTATGCTTTGTTTGACTTATGTTTGTTTTTGAAACAAACAAAAAGTGTCAGTCAGTTGTCCCTGACTTGAATGTTATCAATTGTGTGGAATCTTATCCTAGGCCGTTTTCCTCACCGCTCTTTTCTTCCCTCCACAGCGGTGATGGCGTTTCTCTTCGACCTGAAGGCGCTTGTGGACATGATGTCCATCGGCACTCTGCTGGCCTACTCTCTGGTTGCAGCCTGTGTTCTCATCCTCAGGTGAGTCGGCTTCACTGTGACAAGGTCCTGAGGATGTGTGTCATGTTGCAGCCCAGGGAATAAAGGAAGTTAGGGCTCACCATCTCTGCTTCCTAGGAGCTAGCAGTCTCAGAGGTGAGAGGTTATGGACACAAAAGCATCAATATAAAGTATAATAACCATACGTGGTCCTTAGCAAGGAATCAAATACAGTTGATAATTCTATGTGAATAGCAGGTTTTCATAATATATAAAGATACTTAAAAATACTATACTTTTTGTCCCAAGAATTCAACTGTTAAGATTTTATACTAAAGACTTAATAATTGAGGCGCACCCAGATATATGTAAAGGATGTTCATGGAAAAGATAATTTACATTAGTGAAAAATTGAACTAGCCTGAAGATAATAAGAGAATGGTTAAATAAATGAGGGTACATCTATTCAGTAGACTCTTCTACAAAAAATAAAATGATAATTATTTGGAGAAATGTATCAGTTTCAGGATGCAAAGCTCTATGGAGCATCTGAATTTATTGAAATAAGGTAAATTTATATGAAGAAATCATTTATGACTATGTATAAACATATATACATTTATGCCTGACTGAAATTGTACCAAAATACTAGCAGTGATTAACACTGGGCTGTGGTTTTAATTTTATCTTTGTACTTTGTACTTTATTTTTTTCCCAGTAAACATATTTCTTCCTTAAATGGAGGACAGATGTTACTTTTAAATATTTTTTTAAAAATTTCAATTACAGTTTACATTCAGTATTATTTCATATTAGTTTCAGGTGTACAGCATAGTGGTTAGACAATTCTATACTTTACAAAGTGTTCCCCCTGATATTTCCAGTACCCGTCCGGCACCATACATAGTTATTACAATATTATTGACTACATTCCCTATGCTGTACTTTCCATCCCTATGACTGTTTTGTAACTATCAATCTCTACTTCTCAGTCCCTTCACCTTTTTTCACCCAACCCCCAACCCTCCTCCCTTTGGCAACCGTCAGTCTGTTCTCTGTATCTGAGTCTGTTTCTATTTTGTTTGTTTGTTTGTTTACATTGTTCTTTAGATTGTACATATAGAGAACCCTAAAGATTCTACCAAAAAACTACTAGTACTGATAAATAAGTTCAGTAAAGTAGCAGGATTCAAAATAAATATCCAGAAATCAGTTGCATTTTTATGCACCAATAATGAACTATGAGAAAGGGAAACTAAGAAAATCCCATTTACCATTGCATCAAAAAAAAATACCTAGGAATAAATTTAACCAAGGAGATAGAAGACCTGTACTAGGAAAATTATAAGACAATGAAGAAAAACATTGAAGAAAATACAAATAAATGGCAGCATATACCATGTTCATGGATAGGACACATTAGCATTGTCACTTTTAAATTTAAATTAAGGCTGCTCAAAGAGAAGAGGCCACACTGGGGAGGCTGGGACAGATACTGGGAGGTGGGACAGGCTGATGTTTTGACACAGGCTGTAGAGGATGAGGAAAAGTAATAAAGTAAATAAAGTAATAACGTGTGCATGGGTTGGGAGTGGATGGCTGCATGAGCTAGTTGGGGCGAAACCAGAGGACTCAGGTAGGGAAGTTGAGGGAGATGAGGCCAGACAGGCAGTTTGTGATGAGGCCTTTGAATGCCAAACTGAAGACCGTTTGTTATTTTGTGGAGGTACTTAACCACAGTTTCTGCCATTTTTGTGAACATTTCTTTGGGACATAGCTATTTTCAGAATAATCATCTCATTATCACAATTGCCTCACTTTAAGGTGTAACTCTCTTCTGCATCTAATAGATAACTTTCTAATTAAATGGCTATCAAAGGAAATTCAGAGTTACTGCAGATATTATATTGAGCAGGATTGTGGTCTGACTCTGCATGCTCTGGGGCTGGACCCATGAGAAGTGTCAATTTATTGCACAGCTGTGACACTGTCAGATGTCTCGCTGAGAGTCTTAGGAGCTTGTTTCATTTGTCTCTTTGAGAATTAAGACACCCACATTTATTTGGGGATAGGTACCAGCCCGGCTTATCATATGAGCAGCCCAAATATTCTCCTGAGAAAGAAGCTCTGGAATCGTGTGCCGGTGGGGACTTGGAGAGCGTGTCCCATGTCACCATGCTGCAGGGACTGGGCTTCAGCCTGCAGACCCTCTTCAACCCCTCGGCTCTGCCTACACAGCAGTCGGCTTCTCTTGTGAGCTTCCTGGTAGGACTCTTAGGTAAGTCCTGTTCACTGCATGTACTATAAAGACCCAGTAGGAGTGTGTAGGTGGAGCAGGTGGGATGTGAGAGGATGAAAGGCCTCACGTTACCCTAGAATATGTTAGCAACTACCTGGAGCCCTGAAATGTCCACCTAGTGGGTCACTAGATTTGAGATCATCTTTATATTAGCAAGATAAATTCACTGTATTTTGGTAAATGAAGAAGACAGGAAGAAATTCATAAGGTGAGAGTGTTAGAAGTAGAAAATTGATATATTTCATTAGCCGTTAGAGAGCTTCCTGTATGAAAGCATTTGGCCAAGTACACCTGCCAGTCATGGAACTGGGAACCAGGAGATTGGGAGGCAATATAGAAAATCCTGTCTGCTTACCTGCAGTTACATAATCTTCCATATTTCCAGTGACATTTGTTGAGCACCATCTATGTGTCAGAACTCTGCTGGGCACTTGGGATATCAAGAGAGATGACCCTTGCACTCACTGGGTTTTACAACACAGGATTGCTGGGGGCAAGCCAGGGGAGAGCACATGGGAGGGACCCCTAATGAGGCTTGATGGTCAGAGAGGGGGGAAGTGGGTAGTGATGTCGCTCTCTGAAACAAGGAGAAAAGATGCAGATCATATTTTATTTGTTTAATTAACAATCAGTGCTTACAACAGCTGAAAATGGACACACTTGCCATTTCCTATTTGAAAAAAGGAAATATCCACTCCTGACAGTGGCCCATCCATCCATTGGCGTGGTATAGTCTGAGACAGTAGCAGATGGGGACTCAGGTGGTACCTGGGCAGGAAAAGCAAGAAGGCGGTGCCGGAGGGGAGGCTGACCTCCGGGGAGGAGACAGTCACGAGTAAGCAAGCAGTGTTGCTTAAGGTGGTGAAATCAGCCATTGCTGCCCACAGTGAAAATGAAGAATCTGAGTAATTGGCCAAGTAGATAGGTAAAGAACTCAATGTCATATCAAAACCAACTGTTTGAACTGAGGTGCCTGAGTGAAGTGTGTGTGCTGACTATTTCACGTGCCTATCTCCTTTGCAGCATTTCTCATTCTGGGCCTGAGTGTCTTGACCACTTACGGAGTCCAGGCTCTTGCCAGGCTGGAAGCGTGGAGCATTGCCCTTCTTGTGCTGTTTTTTGTTCTCTCCATTGCCATCGTTTTCATCATTTGGAGGCAGCCCCAAAATCAGCATAAAGTAGCCTTTATGGTATGTGTCATGGGGATTAGAGATGCTAAATATTGTGGACATTTTCCCTTGGACATTAGTTTTTACAAGTTTCTATTTTAAAAACAAAACAAAACACTTCTGATGAAGTTAACCAATGAACAAGAGTGTCACAGTTTTTTAAGATGTTTCTTTTTGTCCTAAGTATTCTGCCTACATTGGCTGCATTACTGCCCTTTTCAAAAACTTGAGGATGCTCCTAACACAATATTATGTATAATAGTAAACAAATTTCTTGTAAAATAATCTACAGTATCCAAAGAATAATTAGAATCTTATTTTAGAAAGTCAGGACCCTCTCAGGAAGGTTATTCCCACCAAAAGCCCTTCCACTGCGCATGAAACGATCCTTTCCCATTTAAACTCAGACCAGGTTTCAGCTGGGAGACAACTTTCTGGAAGTATCCCCCAAGATGCTGTGTGTAACCAGTTACAGAGGCATGTCCTGTTGATTGATGTCCAAACGAAGCCTGTAGGCCCTGAACCGAACTCAAGCTTGAAGCCAGTTGCATCTCGATGATGATGCAGGTGTTAGCAGGGTGGACCAATCCTCTGTTGCTTTGGGCCGGAGTAAATAATGTAAAACATGATGCTCCCTTTAGTGTTCTTTAGAAGAGTGGTTTTTATTCAGTTTGTCCTTTTTGTAAGACTCTAAACTTCCTGACACAGAATGAAAGTGTAAACTATGCCAAATTGGTCACCACCATGTCGAAATAATTTGGGAAATGGGCTTTAAAAATCTGAGTATATTTAAGAAGATATTTCCCCCCTTAGGTTCCATTCTTACCATTTCTGCCAGCGTTTAGCATCCTGGTGAACATTTACTTGATGGTCCAGTTGAGTGCGGAGACTTGGATCAGATTTAGCATCTGGATGGCACTTGGTAGGTCTTTTAATATTTTGGCTTTCTCAACTTTGGCTCTCTCTTTCTGATTTCATGCACTGTGACTAAAGAAATATATCCCTTCCCCTTTCCTGGAAATAAAGATTTTTTTTTCCAGTTTACTCCTTCCCCAATTTTGAGAACATCTGAGTGCTTCCTTTTCCACATGTTTTCAGATGCCTTTTTAAAATTCAAGTCTCCCAGTAACCCTGTAGAACCCATAGGCTCTATTTCCTCCAACTTGAAAGGTGAGAAAAATGAAGCCCCAAAATGTCAAAGGATCTAACTTACAAATGGCAGCCCAAGACTCTGATTCCAGAGTGGGCCCATGGATTTTTGGAGACATTTTGAATGAGCTAATAGCAAAAAAAAAAAAAATCTCTTTTCTAATATCAGAATGTCTTATTATTAGAGCTGTGGAGGGGATTTAACATTAAATAACATGAGTAAGCTTATTTATATCTATACCATTTTGTTTTTCATTTTGATTTCTTCAATTTCCTATGTGAAAATTGAGTTAGAAATTAAGAGTTTAAGTTTTTTGTAACTCAAGCACTGAGTACCAACAGCCTTCAAAATGTGAGCTGAAATAGTGAGAAATAAGAGTTAAATCTGCATTAGTTTTGGTGGCCTGAGAAGTTTGGGATTATGCTTTTTTACCATCCTCCCATTGGCTCAGTGAATAAAAATGAATGTGATTCCCTTTTATGGATGTCTATAAGTGTTTGCTTTGGCAATAAATAAACTTATTTTCAATTTCAAGTCACCAACCCACTTGAGTTGATGGGAGAATGTACCCCAGTCAGTTTTGCCCATCCCCCCACATCTACACTAATGAACTTGATTTTGGATAAAAGCAGGAATTACAGAGTCTGATTCCCTGTATTTGAATCCAGCTCTGCCACTGATTAGCTGGAACCTCCCTGGTTTTGTGCCTCCGTTTCTTTTTAAATGGTGATGGTGGTACCTTTATTTGAGGACAGGAAGGGATGGATCTTCAGACCTCGGAGGACAGGAGAGGAAATAGAATCATCCCTAATAATTGGACATGCCAAGATGCTAATTGGTAGTCTACTTCCCATAATTTTTAAAGTGGAAAATTATAAAATATTTTACATCAACCCAGAACTCTCAATCTTTAAAAAAAATAACTAAAACCCAGCAAAATGTCCAAACTATTTTGTGAAGATACTTAAAACTTTTCCTTCTAACAGCATGGCTGTTAACAAACAGTTGCTTTGGACACAGCAATTGGGCCTCTCCTGGTGACACACAAGAGAAGGCAAAAGGCCCTATTAATGTTGTATTAAATCTTCCATGTTCTAGCAGTCATTTTCTGACACACCTAAAACCTCGATGTTTTGCTCTCTGCAAGGGTTCCTGATTTACTTCGCATATGGCATCAGACACAGCCTGGAGGGAAATTCCAGGGGTGAAGACGATGATGGAGATTCGTATTCAGACAACATTAACTCGGCAGCAGAAGAAAAATCTGCCATTCAAGCGCATGACCTTCACCAGCGGAACCTCAGCTTACCTTTGATACTCCATGAAAAGACGAGCGAATGCTAGTGCTTGCAGGAGCAAAGCCGGTCACAGTTTTAACGTGTGTGTCCTACACTGGGTGAACCCTGACGGATGTCAGCATCGTGCTAGCTTGTCATGGGTTTGCTGCAGACATAGTTCACCCTAATTTATACTCACCTGGACAGCACCTCCTCGGGCGGTGAATTATACCTGGGGAGGCCTGAGCTCTCTCCTAGTGCTGTCTCCCAAATAGTGTGCATTTGTGTGTGTCTGTATATGTTGGGGAATACCAATGGTAAAAGTTGTTGGTGTTGTACTCTTATTGCATTACATTTTTCCCGTGCTTGTCATGAATTGGTGTCACATGCTGCACATCCTGAAATGGAGGTAATCACTGAATCCAAGAGCGTTTTGTGTGTGCTTGGTATTGTTAGGGAAATGACTGTTGCTTTTCCGTGTTAGACTTCATTAATGTCAACTTAGAACATGCTGCAGACGCAGTTGCTCATCTGGGTGTCTGTCATTGGTCAGGAGCAAGAGGAGGGGTAAGAATGAGCCTTTTCTGTAACTTACAAATGCCAGCAGTGGGTTTAGTACAGAGGTTTCTTCTGCCGGGTATGACAGTTCGCTAGAACTTCAGCCAATAGGAGCATTTGCACCTGCCATGCTACACGGGGCAGGAGTGACATTCTGCATCGCCAGATGGCACCCTTAGACCTGCGGTCTTCTTTGAGAGCAGTGGTCCTTAACTATGAGACTTTCACCCAGTAAGAGTGGTAAGCCCCCCTTGGCCCAATCAGGGACTTGAGGCAGGTACACGTAGTGTGATCTGCTCGAGACCCTTTATGCCGGAAGGTGGTCCCCATGGCCAGAAAGCTGGTGTAAGTAACAATGATGAGAATGTTTGAAAATCAGAGTTAGACATACGCTTGGATAAGTAGATACCAAGCATCCTTGTTTTAAAAGTCACTTAAAATAAGCCAATCGAGTCTCCCAGACCACACAGCTATGGAATGATTCATACGTTTTCCATCACTTAATAACTCATCACAGTTCAGGTGTTTTAACCCTGTCAGACAAATTCACTCCTGTGTTTTGTTATGATTTTGTCATGTCCTAGATGTCAGGGGCTACAGTAGCAAGTTCTATCTTTACTACCTGCAAAAGAGGGAAAAATGAAGGGATTCAAGGAGGGACGACTTCCCTGTCCTGATTTTAAATTGCCTGTTTGGATACTAAAGGGCATTTGGCTCCATTTGAGGGGTTTAGAACTAATTTGGCTGTTTCTTTTGGAAACATTTAGGGGTGTTTTCATTCTCCATCCCATAATAGTGTGGCACTTGCAATTTCATTTCATTTTAAATGGCTGCACTAAAGCTATGCATACAAGCTCCAGTATTCCACAGTAGCCTGCCAGTGGTTGGGAAATAAAATATCTTGGTTAAATAATGATTATTTAAAACTTTCAGTTAAAAATTAACCAAATTAAAGCTATAGAAGCAAAGTAACCTCAAAATGAGTAAATAATTTGTTTTTATATGTAAGATTCTACATTTTACTTTATAGGGTTCTCTAATAGTGGACTATTTGCAGTGGGATTTGCTTCTCATGGATTATTATTCTTACAAATCATTAAATGGTTCACTCAATGAAGCTAGAAGCTCAATACATATTTATATACATGTGGTTTTTCCCAGGACAAGCATTACCAAGCACACCAGTTGGCTAGCCTAGTCCAGAAACAAGGAAAGCATTTCTGACAGCCCTTCCAAGAGATCAGTTATTGTATTGATGCCATTAAAAAGCAATCTGCGATTGAATTGCCTAACCAAGACTTTATTGTGATTAAAAAGCAGACAAACAGGAAGCCTGGGTTTGGGGCTGCTAGAATCCTAGCATCCCTGACAGAACTCAGTACTGACATTCCACAATTCCCAGGTCTACCCTGTAAAATCCAAGGCCCAGAATTCTCTTCCCAGCTGCATGTTGCCCTGGAGAGGAAGAGGCAGGCAGGCAGGGGGTGAAGGAGACATGTGAGGACCGTAGCATGCTCTTAGATCTTTGCTGTCGTAGCTGTAACCCAAGAGCCCCTTTTATTCCATGATCAGTCTAGAACAGGCCCTTCACACGGGGAACGTGTGGATTTCTTATATGAATATATTTAACTCTTTCAGTGTAACGAAATCAAGAAATTTGTTTAGAATGTGATAGGCAGCTACAACTGTTATGCCCACCATGTTCATTTAGCAGCAGAATTTAGTTAAACGTTACTTTTCCACATTGAAATACCTTGCAAACACAAATATCTATGAAAAGTTGCTTTGTCGGTGACTGTGCTTTTTTTTCCTTTGAAGGCTCAAATGTGTGTCTGTATGTATGTGTGAGTGTGTATATATTATATATATATGTATGTGTATGTCTGTGTATTTCAAAGACAGTTGGGTTTATGATGGGCTTTGGAAATATAATACCATTGTGTGGATTTAAAAAAATCCAACCGATGTAGAGAAAATAGAATGTTTTGTATTGATAGGTATGCTTATATAAAATGTTTAGGTTTTAAAGTATTTTGAAATACACAGTGATTTTATATGTATGATATTTTCTATAGATAGGTCCTTTAAGAAAACTATATTTATAATGTTTCTAAGGTGAAATCACTAAACTCTAGTACATTGTACCAGGTGCTTTCTAATCTGAAATGGAGTGGGGTGGGGACATTAGGGTGTTTCTGTTTACTTGTCTCTGTGGCACCTTTTCTAACCTTCGTCCTGGTGTGTCTAGGAAAAGCCAGTACTACCAGCTCCAGACCACTTCCCTGTTCCCGCACTTGAATTCACAATCTTTGGAATGAAATGTTGTTTTTACTTCCCGAGGATTACCAAAGTGTTTTTTATAGATTTGACTAGTAATTAATCAGGCTTTCATAAAATTCTCTCCAGAAACTAAAAAATACATATAGACATTCTCTTAATTGTGATTGCATAAAAACAGCTTAAATTACATTTCCTTTTTTTGTGTGCTAGGAAATATATCCTCTTAATATTTTCAGTGAGAAACGTCAATAGCAACCTTTATTTTATACTCTTTTAAAAGAGAAGATGGTTTGCGAATAACCGTATTTAGATCATCCCACCCTACATTTAACAAGGTAGCTATGCAAATTCAAATGTAAAAATTATTTATAAGAAAACTTAGAGCTTTTGCTATATACTGAAATACAGATTATTACATTATCACATTTTCCCCAGAGATAAACATCAGGAAAACTAAGACCAAAACATCATTTGAGATATATTCATTAAAGCAAAACTAATGTTGATGTATCTAAAACTTTATTATTCCAACCATCGTGGAAGGAAAATACCCATTTCGAAATGATTTTCCTTTAAAAGACAAGAGCCTCTTAATTTTTCTGAATAACATTTTTTTAAAAAACTTTACAATTTTTAAATATTAGGCAAAATATTTTTGGAGTCCTGGGAATTTGCAGGTAGTTGCTCTAATATTTGCAGTTCAAATCTGTATTTACCCAATTATTTTCTAAGCTGATTTGAATGCTTGTGAGGGGAACAGGGAAGAGGGGCCGCCCTCCAGGGCTGGTCACACCACCGGGAGCGGGTCAGCCTCATCTCCTTTCCTCTTCCACGGGGCACATTCTGCGACTACAAACCACGACACAGAGTCGTGCCCGGTCCCAACCCTCCCTTCCCTGTGATGTTGCTCACGATGTTCTTGGCCTGATTTCTCCTGCTGGGCTTCAGGTTAACACCAAAAGCACAATTTCCACAAAATCTTAAAGGATTGGATGGTGCATGATGGAATATTAAAATTCACATGATTAGAGTGAATTTGGGGCCCGGGTGTGTGTGTGGAATTAACTGTTTTCTTTTACTAGCACCAAAATAAAATAGTGCCTTCTCTGTACATTTTCTACTTACGTTCTTTAACATATCCTAAAACATCAAGGGAAAAAGTACCAAATTCACGTAGGTGTAACGCCAGCACGGGCCATTTTTTAATGCAGGCTTGGGAGTAAGGTTGCTTGGCCTTGTTGTTTAGCTGTGTTGTTTTTCCCTCCTTGTATAATTATGTTTAAATATTTTTAAATGGCTTTCTGTGTTCTGGGTTTTGAGAGGCCTTCTCTGTTACTGTTGTGGCTGCCGGTTCGGTTATTGGTTTTTGTAACATTCATTATTGTTTGTACATGGTCTGGTCTTACTGATTTCAAATGCATTTTGTTATGGCTCAACCCAGTTGGCAAGTATAGCTTTTATTCACTATGGCTGAAGCCCCTGCCACAATCTCTGGCCTTCAAGAGCCGTCCCTGACCGCTGGGGCCCCATGGGGATCATAAACCAGGACCCTGAGCTGGTTCCAGGAACAGGCCGCCTGCAAAGGGGGAGCATCTGTAGCTACCTCTTTTGGGTGGGGTGTTGGGATGTCAGGAGAGGATCTGAAGTAAAAGACTTCACACGAAAGTAAGGTAGTTTGGGGTGCTTCATATCAGTTCCAAAGGCCCCAAGAGTACATCAAGGGAAATGATCAGGACAGAGGAACCTGTGTGTCTCAGGGAAGGGATGGCTGCTTCCTGGAACTGGCACCACAGGGCCCAGCTTACTGCGGTCCCTGCAATGCCCCCGACAGCCTCGGAGTGGGAACTGCACGGGCCAAGGTTCGGCTGATAAAGAGCCTTGGACTGTCAACAGCCTGGTTGACAGGCTCTTCGTCTTCGGTGTCCGCTAGGGGTGCCCAGTTGTTTCATTGCTTTATTGTGTTATCATTGTAATCAACAGAAACTGTAGGTAGGGCCCAAAACCCTAAAGAAATTCTATGTCTGTAAAAACCAACAGATACATTGGACTTGTGCGAATGTAAAGATTTTTTGTTTAGTAGGTAATTTTAAATTTAGATGTTTTTAATGATAATCAGTGTTCCTTTTTACATATAAAGTTGGATTATTTTTTAGAATTTGTAATAAATGAAAACTGTTGCTGCTTTACCACTGTAAAATAGGCTTTCTAATGTGACCATGTATTTTTTAAATAAATTTTAATACAACTTGTATGCATGTGTATCTACATTTCACACGTACGTATTTAAAATGCTTTTTTAATCTGGGAAACTTTCAAGCTCAGAAATACGATACAACCTAAATTGAAATAATTATATTGTTAAGAATACTCAGCCGGAAGCCTAGGGCCTACCGTATGAATAACCAAGTCCTATAAGATAAAAGAGGTGTCTTCACATATCCTCAGTCTTCACGGCACATTCCAAAAGAAGATCAGTTGCTTCTGAAGCACCCCAGGACCACACATCTGAGACCTACCTCAACTGTCATTTTATGGACCAATCTCTATGACACTGCTTTTGTCTGTGAGAAGCTCCTCAATGTCTCCCGACCAAACCATAGCCTTTAATAATTGGTGATCAGTTCTGTGTAAGCAATCTTTTACAGTATAGTGAATAAATATTTACCAACTTCAACCCTCTTTGCCCTCTGGGAGGAGTCAAAGGGCTTTCTGACGTGGCTCAAGCTATTTAACATTGCAAATCTCTTAAATTAGCTTACTTTAGAAATATCTTTGTGTCTATACTGAATTCCTATTGATTCTAGTAAATTGGAGGGAACACCACATTGAATTTAAAAACTTTAATATCAATTAAGCCAGCGTTGAAAACCAAGCTAAAACAGCAAAGTATTTGCCAAGTAGAAGCTACAACCTCCCTCATCTAATTGTTGGCTTGATTAGGATTGTTACTAGGTTTTGTCCCACCTCCGCTCTGGTACCATGGGATCATGTGAAAAAAGTGATGTCCCAGGAGCTGTGTCTGGGCTGTGGGTCCGCCAGGAACCCCTGGACGAACAAAACTCACCCATTATCTCAAAGTCGGGCCAAAAGTATGGGGAAACTATCTAGAAATAAACACAGCTCAATGCTGAGTTAGTTACTTGAAACTTTCTAGTACCAAACTCGTAGCCAACTCTCAAATATGTTTAAGTACCGGAGATTTCAGATGTTACAAATCCTGAGTAAAGAATCCTGTAACTCTCTGCTAGGACTGGGTCAGTCAACATGAAGAGGAAAACACAAGACAGTACTCAGGGTGGGCTCATATCTCCACAGTAGGGAACAAGCTCATTCCTGGGCTCTGGGTCCCTTAATCCCCAAGTACTCCAGCCCGCCATGATTCATTCCCCGAGCTTCCCAATGGCTGAGTCTCCCCCAGGTCACCCTTATCTTCCCCAACCTGCTCAGTGATGCCTGATATGTCTTCATGCAAAGGCCAAGGGCAGAAATCAGACCTAAAGTCCAATGTTCTTGGAACTGAAACATTGACTTATATTGGCAGTAAGTTGTAAATGACCAATAGAAGATGCTTTTCAAAAAGTGAACATTTTAAAAGCAAATAAGCAGAGGAAGCAAATAGGCACAGATATTTTAAGTAACAAAGAGGGAAACCATTAAGAAAGAAAAAAAGCAAAGGAAGGAGAGGTTGGAGGTTTTAAGTCATTTACATTTTACTCAGAGCTGAGCCATCCAGAGGCTCTTGTAAGTAATGGGCTGGTAATACAGCTTTACAGTGTGCTATGTCCTGGAGCTAGGCAAGTAATTTCTTTTGCCCCACCTGTTTTAAGGAGACCAAGGTTCTGAGGTCCTTACCTTACACTGTGGTGTCCCTTCATGAGTGGCTCTGGGAGCATCAAAAATGTCTAGTGTTTCTGTTAAAATGAGAGTATTTAAAACAATTAAAGTTACTTGTCTTTCTCTGGCTTATTTCACTTAGTACCATATGATTTCACCATATGTGGAATTTAATTAACGAACTGAATTACCAAGCAAAATAGAGACAGAGTCATAGACAGAGAGCAGACAGACAGCTCTGGTGGAAGGTGGGTGTTGGGGCGGGTGGAGGGATTGAGCAAAAAAAGAAAATAAAAAAGAGAGAACTCATGGACCTGGACAACAGTGTGGTGATGGGGAGGAGGTGGAGGAGGGCAGAGAGGGGATAAATGGTGATGGAAAAAATTAAATTAAAAATAAAGTTAGCTCCTACTAAAACCTTGAGACATTAAAAAATATTGGTTGTGTTTCTATAGTTAAGAGAGTTTAGAAACATATATTTGGGGAGTAGGGAGGGGATGCCTAAAATATAGGCTAATTTTTTTCTTTTTTGGGGGGGCTTGTTTACCTAACAAATTCCTGATGTTATTTACCACTTTGAAGGGGGGGAAGGTATAGGGAACAGAGAAATAGGAAGATTTTTCAAGGCAGAGTAGTTTTCACTACCATTTTACTACCACTAATTAAAATGTATAATGAAACTGTGAAAATGCTGCATATAAAATAATTCACAAACACAGAAGTCATGATGGGAGCACCGACATTTCACTCTCGACCTTGGTGACCGGGTGGGGCCTGATGCCACCTCTCACCTGTCAGCCTCTCGGTGCATAGACCTGTGCTCGAAGGGACGGGAAGGAGATGGGCTGGCCACAGGCCCACGCCCGCAGGCGCACCTGCCCCGCCCCGGCCCGCGCCCCCTACTGTGACAGTGGTCCCCGGACGCGGTCTTTCAAAGGCCCTTTCTGCTCTCGGCCTCCCCCCCCTCCCGCTGACTCAGGGAGGCTTGGACCCCTGATAGTGCCGCCCCTGAGCCACTCGGGCCCCCTGAGGTCTCGGTGAAAGGGTGACAAACACCGATGCTAATTAATGTAAGGGTGAGGTGGAGGGAGCAGGCGGGCAGCAGCTAACAAGGAAGGAAGGCGTGGGTTTTGTAGGGAACATGGTCGTTTATCTAAAACCCAAGACATCAGCTAAAAACTAGATGGACAACTGTATGGTGGTTACGGGGGTGTGTGTGTGTGTGTGTGTGTGAAGGGTCAAGGGGTCAAATATATAGTGATAAAAGATTTGATTTTGGGTGGTAAACACGATGCAATGCACAGATGATGTAGCATAGAATTGTACACTTGAAACCTATGTAATTGTATTTACCAATAAAATTTATTAAATAGATTTATTAAGTTTAATTTTAAAATTAATTAAAATTTTAATTACAAACATACCAAAATTAATCATGCCTTAGGACTTCAGGTTTTGAGTCGTATTTGAGTTCGACCTGTAAGACAATGTTTGTTTTAATTGGCCAATATTTTAGCAATTTTTGGAGAAAGAATGGAAAAGATCCACATAAACAGAGACTCTAATAATAAAATTCTTTCTCACCCTAGAGACAAAGCAGATGGGTTTTTACAGTGAAACAGAACCTATAAAAAATACAACTTTGGCAGTTTTATTTTTCAGATTCAGAGTCATCTTGACGTTTTCTCATTCAAGCATAAAAAGCCAGGGATTAGGCAGGTCCCTGCCTTGGAAAGCCCCTGTGTTTCTGGTAACCCTTGCTCCCATCCTAACAGGCTGTAATTGTTCCCTGGGCTCCCATACCGATGGGCCACAGGCTGCGTGGCCTGAGGGACAGAAATGTATTCTCACAGCCCTGGAAGCTGGAAGTCAGAGACTAAGATGCCAACAGGGCTGGTGCCTCTCAAGGCCTCTCTCCTTGGCATGAAAATGGTCAGCTTCTCCCTGAATTTTCACACGAGCTCCCCTCAGTGCCTGCGCCTGTGTCCAAGTTCCCCCTTCTTACTTACAAGGATACTGGTCAGATTGGATCAGGGCCCAGTCTAAGAACCTCATTTTAACTTAATCACCTCTTTAAAGACCCTAGGCTCCAAATGTGGTCACATTCTGAAGTACTAGAGGCTAGGACATCGTTTTTAAATTTTTTTTTGGGGGGGGGGGTGTAGGGCACAATTCAACCCATAGCATAGACCTAGGATAGTTTGGGTACCTAAATTTAGCTAAAGCATACGTGATATAGAAGAGGCTTGGGAAGTAAAATTCCAAAATTATTTTCTATATGCCACTTACCCAGTTTCGTAGTGTAATGGGGACAATTTTCATTCATAAGAGCAAAGCAAAAATAAAGAGGAGAAACAAGCCTTACAAGTAACAAGCAAGGCTCACATGGAGAAATATATAACCGTGGGAAAATAACTATATATGTGTTTAACTATATAACTGTACACACATGTACATATGTAGGCATGCACACATCCACATCTAGGCAGTCCAAATTTCGCTAAAGTGTATTTGACATGAAAGAGGCTTAGAAATGCAGAACTCCAAAATTGTTGTCCTAATATCAGCATCGGCCAATTATAAAAGATAATGGGAGCATAAAAGTACACTTGAATAAATGCCAAGATATATAACATTATAACATTCCTGGATGGGAAGACTCAGTATTGTCAACGCGTCCATTCTGCCGCAGAACATAAGTTCAATGCAATCATAATCAAACACGGTGAGGTTTTTGTGGAGATGGCCAAGCCGATTCCAGACTCCGTCTGGTATGAAAATGTACAGTGATAACTGACAGAATGATAGCGGGCGCCCTTGCCCAGACAAATATCAAAACACACCCTAACCCAATACCAACCAACGCAGTGTGGTGTTTCTATAGGGACAGAGAGAGAGACAGAATACAATAGATCAGAAACAGACCCAGGTACGCGTGTGACTTAGCACACACTAAAAGTCAACTCAACAGATGGAAAAAGAACCAATCCCTTAACAAATGGTAGTGTGATATTGACCGACCAACTGGACAATAAAACTAGATTTCTAACTTGTGATACCAAAAGATTTATATGGAGAGATGTATTTAAAGGCTAAACATGGACAACAACATTATGAAAGTTTTAGATGAAAATATAAAATAGTTTTATAATTTGAGGCAGAGAAGGCCTACCTAAGGAGATATAAAACCCAGAAGCCACGAAGGAAGTTTACTGAGAAATGTAATTGCTTAAGCATTTGTTACAACTGCTTGAAGGAAAGCACTGTTAGCAAAACTATAACAGGGGCAAAGAAATGGAAGAAAATGTCTGCAATATGTATAATACCCAAGAGCTTACTAGCCAGAATATGTTAAAATTCTTCTATTCTAAGACAAAAATAAAAAGAACTGAATTTTCAAAAATAGGCAAATAGAAA